TATTGTTGGGGGGTGGGTTTTTGGTGTTTGATTGGGGGGAGGGCGGGGGGAAATGATTTGTTTGTTTATTTGGTTTTGCTGCGGTTTTTTTTCCCCGCAGAAGCAGTAGGGACGCGGTGACAGCGCTGAATCGTGCCCTCTGGGCTGACCCAGCCGCAGCCCTTCCCGGCCAGCTCGTAGGGCTGCTGCCGTGATCGCGGCACAGAACCCCTCCTGCGCCACCCAGACCCCCACATTACCCCAAATTAGGGATCTCCAGATCTGCCCCGCAGACCCGGCCGCCTCCGGCCGCTCCGCTCCCTGGCCAGCGCTGCCTCAGAGAAGTGGGGAGCTGGGCCGAGATCCTCGGGACTTACTGAGTGGGGACACCCGGGACAGCGAGCCTTCACCCTGCCCCCAGTATTTCCTGCGTGGATTCACAGAGGGGTGCAAAACGGTCCCGTTTTCCCACCCCTGGGCAAACAGTCAGAGCTCCCAGCCCGGTGCTCCGTGCTCTAGGGACCGGCTCACCGCGATTCCCTTCGTGGAAGGGTAGACGTGGGGCAGGGGGAGTGACCGGCCTTCCCCAAATCATTCCCGACAGGAAAAAAAAAGCGTCAAACCGCTTAAATCCCACAGGTCCTGGCCCGTGGAGGTGAAAACTCTCAATTTGGCAAAAGGGTGCGGGGAAGCATGGAAAGGCTTTGCGGAGTGGTCTGGAGGCCCGGTGGTCCCCCACCACCCACCCCATCGGGGGTTGCGGTGTCCCGTGTCACCCCCGTCGGGGTGGGCGTGGGCGCTGGTCGCGGGCAGGTGCGGGCAGAGGCTGCGCTCCTGCCGCGGGCATGGCGACTCCCGAGGGTCTCAGTCCAGCCCGCATCTCAGCCACCGCTGTTGCCTCCTGACAGAAACCCCATTTCTCAAACGTAGGAGCCGGACCACCCCCCCTCCCACCCCATACCCATCCTTCATCCCCAAACTTGACACTGCCTTAGATTTCGTTCTGAGGTGTGAAGGGAGAGGGAGGTGAGGGGGCGGTGGGGGGTGTTGTCAGCTTGGAAATGCCACCCTTTAGTGTTTGGGTGGGGAGGGGGTACGCTTTTTCTTTTTCCTGAGAGGGGTGGGGAAGATCCATATTTGATCTTGTTCACTTCACACAGGGCTCCCAGACGGAGAATAAAGCCCCCTCCTGAATTATCCAACAGGGCTGAAGCAGGTTGAGTCAGTGAAATTCAGTTCCTTATTTTATGAGGTGTCAGGGCTGATGTCGAATATGGCAACGATAACTAATACTACAGTCTGAGGGACCAGAACGTGGTAATTAATCCCAAAGACTTAAGTGTATTTTAGATCAGGA